ATGAACACCTGGGTATTTGAAACTCTCCATCGTTTTCACCGCTTGAATTCTCTTAAGTTAATTATTTTGAATGAAGGGTCATTCATTTTTTGAGTGACAAGCTGCCAATAATCTTGTCAGGCATATTAACCTACGTGTCTCTGGATTAAGAACTGTCAAAGTAACAGTTGATGGAAGGGGGTTAATATTTTCTGTTATGTGGAAGATACAGTTGTATAATCTGAAAGGATTCCCAAAACCGTAATAGAGCTCAAAATAAAATTATTATCAGGTAAAGTTCAATTTTCTGTTAGGAGTTTAAACTTTGAATATTGGAACTAGAAAATATAGCTGAGCTTTGGAGCTTCGATCAGAGCTGAGATTTATTATTATTAAAGCAAAATCTTCCATGCTGCCCTATTGATGACCCAATAAATCCACCAATATTGTTTTCTGCTTCAACATATTTTATTCATTTCTCAGCTATTTGTACACCAATCCCTTCATAATCTTCATTATAACCAAGGGCTTTAAAGCTTTGCTTGGTTCTAAAATGTGTTTTTCTCAGTTTAAAAGGCGAATTATATTTCTTAATAAAGTAAAGCACCTAATTCCTCTTCATACTGGGTGGAGATTATTTGAGATCATGGCGTGGCTAAGGCTGACCAGATTTAAAGATTTAAAGTGGATTTTATTGATTAAGTCAGATTAAAGGTGTTTTCTCCACAAAATAAAAGCCCCAGCTGTTTTTCTCTGCTTGCAGATTAACAGGTTGTCGAAACATGTACAGGTTCATAGATCATACATTTACTGTGACAGAACCTCCGAGAAATGAATGATAAGATATGGAAACACTCGGTAAAGTCTTCACAAACATGTTTTTATTGAAAGAATAGAGGGCCGGGCTGATACCACACTGGTAAATAGAGAATGCAATACATTACTTACACTGAAGAATGAGCCAGCCTCAATAGATGATTAAAAAAAAAGGTTGCTATGAGAATGTTTAAGGCACTCTGGACTAAGGTGAAACGGTTACAAAAGGATGGTTCCTGCTAAATCCTTGCATCATGGCATCTATCCCTCAAAGAACTGTATGAACAGTGAGACCTGCCAGTTGATTTTGCAGCATTACGATGCATTTCTCTATGCAAGTAATAGTTTTGGTGACATTTGTTGTGTAATGAAACAAACACTACACAACAGTAGTGAAAATATGTGGAAGATAATAAGAAACTGCAGCCATGCTGTTTTATGCCATACTCCCACAGTGGGGTGATTTGAATGTGTCACTGGCAAAGCATGTGGGCAAGTAGAGGTGCAGGTGCACAAGTCTATAAAAACAAGATGGAAAAAAGTGTTAAAACTAGCACAAAGGCATTTTCATATAAAAATGAAAATGCTCAAGGAGAAAAAGCATCCTATTTAAAAAAAAACTGTTTAGAAGTCATTACTGTTACTAATATCTATTTGCTTTTATCTGTTAAAAGGATGTTACTCTTAAAATGGAGTATTAAGGCCAGGCTAGAGATTTTTTTTATTTATTTCGAGAATAAAGTCGTAAAATTACGAGAATAAAGTTGTAATATTACGAGAATGAAGTCATCATACAACAACTCGTTTCAAAAAGAAACCTTATTCTCGTAATTTTACGACATCATTCTCGTAATGTTACGACTTTATTCTCGTAATATTACAACCATTCTTGTTGTGACTTTATTCTCGTAATTTTACGACTTCCTTCTCGTAATGTTACGACTTTATTCTCATAATATTACAACCATTCTTGTTGCGACTTTATTCTCGTCATTTTAAGACTTCCTTCTCGTAATGTTACGACTTTATTCTCGTAATATTACAACAATTCTCGTTGCGACTTTATTCTCGTAATTTTACGACTTCATTCTGGTAATGTTACGACTTTATTCTCATAATGTTACAACAATTCTCGTTGCGACTTTATTCTCGTAATTTTACGACTTCATTCTCGTAATGTTACGACTTTATTCTCGTAATATTACAACCATTCTCTTTGCGACTTTATTTTCTTAATTCTAAGACTTCATTCTCGTAATGTTACGACTTTATTCTCGTAATATTACAAATTTTCTCGTTCCGACTTTATTCTCATTATTTTACAACTTCATTCTCGTAATGTTACGACTTTATTTCCGTAATATTACAACCATTCTCGTTGCAACTTTATTCTCGTAATTTTACGACTTCATTCTCATAATGTTACGACTTTATTCTCGTAACATTACAACCATTCTTGTTGCGACTTCATTCTCGTAATGTTACGACTTTATGTTTGTAATATTACAACCTTTCTCGTTGCGACTTTATTATCGTAATTTTACAACTTTATTCTCGTAATGTTACGACTTTCTTCTCGTAATTTTAAGACCATTCTGGTTGCGACTTTATTCTTGTAATTTTACAACCATTCTTGTTGCGACTTTATTCTCGGAATAGAACAAAAGAAAATGTCTAGCCTGGCCCTAATACTCCATCGTATTATGATAGAAGTTTACTGTAATGTAAATCCCTTTAATATCCCACAATGGGGAAATTCACTTTCGGCATTTAACCCATTCCCACTGTGCAGCACCCGGGGAGCAGTGTGGGGTTAAGGGTCTTGCTCCGGTACCCAGAGTGCAGGCTGTGGGGATCGAACCGGGTACTTGCGATCTTCTCAGAGCACAAGCGCACTGCTCTAACCATTAGGCCAGCACTTCCCTACAGGTAGCAGATTCTATACTTGGTACTTGTAATTATTGTAAATAGCACCATTCGCTGTATTGGAGTCAAAAATGCTTTGTCCTAAAGCGAATGTAAAGTTCACATAAAGGTGAACAGACTCTCAAAAGTTGATTATAGTCTTTAATCTTGTTATGATCACCATTAGAACCAAATATCTGCACAGACCTAATGGTAGCATAACGTTTCTGAATCAGCCGGCAGGTTGGGGGTGAAATGTTCATAGTTTGTTTACACTGGCATTGAGAAATAAAACGTCGACTCCCTGTTTTGACATTTAATGTTTTGCCAAAGAAATTACAACACTATCATGTAATGTGTTGTTATTGTTGAGGGCTGGATGCATCAGTACCCTGACTCATGAACACGAGGAGTGTAAGATGATTTGACAGAATGTACCGGGGAGTATTGCTCCAAACAGCTCACTCAGCAGCTCTCAGTCTTTGCTGCTGACTTCAGATTGCTCAGCAGAACATGAACCAAGATCCCGGAGTAGCTGATGTCATGTTGTGATGGAGGAGGATGACTATGACAATCGCAGCACCTCATTACACGTCTCTGCTCCTGTTTTCGTATTGATTTATGACCCCATGTGTACTGATGCTTCTCTTTTATCTTCGCTGTTTCTGAGGTTTAGCTTCTCTGATGTAATAGTTTGCAATTTTTTTTCAGTTTACCGTGACAATAAACTGTATATAATTGGATTTCACTGTAGTACTTCCAATCATATCAGAATGAAATACCACAGTTTTCCTTCCTTTATCTAAGATTTTAGACAAAAGATTAAAACGAATACAGTAAAAGCAGTAAAAACAAAAAAACACTAAAATATAAGAAAAACCCTCTTGATGCTCCTGGCCAACTGGAAATTAAAGCACAATCAAACAGATGAGTATTTAAAACCGTTTTAAAATCATTAACTGTATTAGACACATTTACAGTGAGTGCAAGATTATTCCAGTCCTGGAAACATAAAGAAAAATCAGGGCTCCAATTGGAAGATGCTTTAGGAAAAAGATCCAAAAAGTAAGGAAATGGATAATCGTTTAAACATTTAGAAACAAAAAGAAAAACCGAAACATACCACCAACCTTTGCAGTGTCACATCATCTACAATAGCTGCACAGCCAAAGAAGAGACTTATCCTGGGCTGTGAAGAAAGCACAGGGGATTGTGGGATGCTGTCTGCATGATTAAACTCTGGCTCAGTCTGAATACATTAGATTGCAACCCTTACCTCCTGTTCTTTGCTCCTTTTCCTCCACTTTTCTCTGGATCATCAAAGAGAAAAGGAGCTCCAGACTGCTGTGCTTATGCCTTATGAAAGTCGTCATACAGAATCACACGGACCAAACTTTTAGAAAAGAACTACAAAAAACAAAAGTTACATAAATGTTGTGCAAGGCTTAAATTTTATGTTATAAAATTCAAAATATATGAAGGCAAGGGCATTAGCATGTGTCAAAACAGAAATCATATGATTTTGTTTGTCCTGACAGATTCAGAACATTCGGATCTAGACTCGGTTTACGTTACACTAGTCCAGTTTTTAAAGATCCTTAGTTCTTTCAGGAGGACAATACTGGAGAGATGTACTCATTGCGCTTGATTTTAGAACAAATTCTTCATCTCGTTATTGCTATTTTTCAGATTTTAAGATGCGCAGCACTTTGACCACCCAGTATATGTAGATAGTTCAACATAGAGATCGAAGGATATTGTTTTAAAGCAAAAGATACAGTTTAAAATACAAAATCCTTTGACTTTCACCATCCTGTTCTTCATTCTCGTTCTAAGTGACAAGGTCTGTGGAGGTTTTTGAGGACCCACATGCAGAGATGAGTTTGCAGATTTAATAGAGGTTCAACAAGGCAACTGAGGCAAAAATCCAAGAACAAAAATAAGAAAACAAAAATCAGGAGATGCCAGGGAGAAACAACATATGGGGAGGGAGCCAGCAAGAAAGCAACAAAACAACAAGGAACCACCAATGAGGAACTGCAGAAGTGGTTTATATATGGGGAACAGAGCAAAGGATGGGCTAATGAGCAGATATGGAGCAGGTGTGAATAGAATTAACTAGAAGGGAGCCAAGGAAACAGGCACAAGGGGAAACAGAGAGTAACTTAGGAAATACAAAACTGACAGAAAATGACTACAAAGACATAAATTAACAAAGAAAATAAAAAATAAACCAAAACAGAGGGCAGAAACCTGAAATAAAGTCTTTAATGAATGTAAAAACTGCTCTCTGTCTGCAGGAAAAGCCTCACAGCAACAGCCATGTCGTCTTAAAGAAGAGAGGCAGACACAGGCAGGATGCTCTAAACCAAGAGGTCAATTCAAAGTCTTCTCTGGTGTCCAGAAATGAGACAGAGTTCTGGAATCGTCCTCGGTGTGGAGTCCCAGACTATCCAAAAGTAACACCCCTCGACGCATCAAACCACAGCAGGAAGAGGAGCAGAAAGCAGCGCGGGAAACGGTTCGCTCTATTTGGAGGACGCTGGGACAAATTTGATCTCACTTACAGGTAAGAAATGAAAATCCGCTGCTTCTAAGGTACTTTTAGTATCGCTTTTGGAGTCTAAAATTCCAATTTGAGCTCATCTTTAGTGACCTCAATTTGATGTCTGTGTCCTCCAGGATTCTTCGTTTTCCATGGCAGATGAGTGAAGACAAAGTTCGGGACGTCTTGAAAGAGGCCTTTGAAGTTTGGGGCGCAGTAACTCCTCTGACACTCAGAGAGGTTGTTAATGAGAGAGCAGACATCATCATTGACTTTAACAGGTAAGAAACCAAAGAACAATCAACTGTGAATCAACAGTCAACATAAACACAGAAAACAGAAGGGGTGCTTGTTCCTTTTCTCCATCCATCTGGGGTCCGGGACTGAAATATGTTAAAGCCTTCTGCCCTCTCTAGAACAATAACTACGTTTTACAGAATAATTACACACATTCCATTCAATCCAGTTTATTTATATAGAGCCATTTCACAACACATCTGAAGACACTTTACAGAGGAGATACCGTCAGATTGATTAGGAAAACCAGCTGATTGCATCCAGTCATTGACTTGCAAGACATGCTCTTTCTGGATTAGACTGAGGCGACGATTTTCGCTTGGATTTTGTCGTTGAATCTTCAGCAATCCCTCTACTAAAGCATGCATGTAGCGACAGTGGAGAGGAAAGATCCTGTTTAAAGGAACGAAAACCTCCAGCAGAAACAGGCCCAGTGTGAGCGGCCATCTGCCAAGGGGTTCAAGGAGAGAGAGGCAGACGTACAAAAAGAAGCAGGTATATAAAAGGTAACTGTCAACCAATATCAACCGTCCGGTAAAGACACAACCAGGCAGATGAGCTCCAACACAATTCTCTTATCAGAGGATGAAAGAGAGCACAGTTAGTCAAATTAAAAGAAAAGAGGACTACAATGGAAGCGGTCCAAGCTCCAATGTCTAACAGAAATGTTGATGGTAGCAGCACAGCTGATATTACAATCCAGGATGGAGTCACAGCCAAACAGGAACAGAGCAGATAAAGCTACTATGACAGGAAAAAGCAGACAGAACACAAAGTTATGAGTGGAACTTAACAAAAAGTGCTGAATACGAGAATAGAATTAGAATGAAACACAATGAGGTAAAGTGGTCACTATGTGATCCAGCAGCCTAAACATATAGCAGCATAAATATAGAAAACAGATCAGGATAACCTAAATATTGTGGATGTTGTAAGAAAGGTAGAACCGGCCGTAGGGCCGAGGTAAAACCAAGGAGAAACATCTTTCTGGACTGGAATTCATAATCAGCAGGGGCATAAATCTATCAGGATCAGTTTAAAAGACACTTGATAATCATTCATCATCATCGAGTTACACTATATACCCTCAAACTGGATGGTTATAGTATGACGACTCACTTTGGCATCTGTCTGCTGAAACGTCCTTGTCATAACAAAACTCTCGTTTCTCTGCCAAACCCATCTCTGCTTCACGTTTTGACCTGTAGAGGATAGAGAGATTAAAACTATAACTCCTTTTCAGACATGGAAATGTTTACTAGCCTGCAGATCTTATTTTTATTTTTTTGAGCGGTGATCCTCTGAAATAAAGACATGAAGTAAAGATTTTATTTCTACACCGTTTAAAGTTTAATTTTGTCCTCAAAAAGCAAAAACTTGCAGGTTTTCCATCTGACTCCATCAGTGTCTCATGTGGAGGATCTTGAGTCCACTTCTCTGTCCAACATTTAGGGTCTGGAGATATTTATTTCTGCTCAGATGCTCCCACTGCAGCATTTAAAACAAGCTATGGTCGGGATTTTGACTAGCTCATTGGAGTACTTGGTTTATTTTCTTTCTTAGATATTCTGCTGTAGATCAGCTGTGTTTCTGTTGAGGACCCAGTCTAGTACAGCTTCAAGACTCCAGAGTACTTTGTAGAGTACTTTACTGCAAGGTGCACTTGTCCTGTTGCTGCAAAAAAAAAATGAATACCTCCTATCTTGTGCTTCTCAGTTGATGTAAGGTGTTTTATTTAATTTTCTCCTTTTTTTTATTTTATTTTTTATTTTATTTTTTGCCTTTGGCCAGAATTCAACTTGTTTGTCTCAAGAAAACTGTTCCAGAGGACTTGTAGTAATTTAAACTTTAAAGTTTGAAAGATGGGGCATTCAAAAAAGGCTTGTCCTAATATTGGCTTTATATGCTATGCAAACTTGTCATAAGATAAAAATCAGACATGGTTTTACAGGTACTGGCATGGTGATGACTTACCGTTCGACGGTCCTGGAGGAATACTGGCCCATGCTTTCTTTCCCCGCACTCTCAAAGAGGGCGAAGTCCACTTCGACTATGATGAACATTGGACTGTCGGGAATAGTGTTGGTAAGATGCTTTTGGACTATTTACGATGTGTGTGAAGCTAATCACTAAATAATCTTTGTCTTTTTGAAGGGACTGATCTCCTCCAGGTGGCAGCTCATGAGTTCGGCCATGTTCTGGGCCTGCAGCACTCCTTGGAGCCCGATGCCGTCATGAGTCCTTTCTACAGTGATTCCTACCCTTTGAAGCTCAGTGAAGACGATAAGAGGGGGATCCAGTATCTATATGGACCTCCTCGGTACACACCGCCGGATATAACAGAGACCAATGAGATAGAGACTGAACTGGTGAGACCATGATGCTTGAACCTTTGAACCTACTGACCATCAGTCCTGGTCCAGTCATTGTGTCTTTAAATAATGCCTCCAAGAAAAGATAGAAAGCTGGCAATGATCATAAAAAGACATTCAAAAAGTTTGGAAAAGTGTTTGATGGAAACCACTTAAAAACAAATTTAGGAATATCTGGATATTAGGAAAGATAATGGAAAGAAATATGGACTGGATCAGAACTTTTAATCTGTACCATCCCTTATTCAAAAGTTTCCTCTTTTTTCTGCTTTTTAACTCATGCATTAATAGATTAGGGTTGAAGTAATGAGTGTCTGCTTTTCCTCAGTTGGATGCCTGCAGAACAAGCTTTGATGCTGTGTCCATGATCAGGGGAGAGCTGTTTTTCTTCAAGTCTCGATACGTTTGGCGTATCCGTGACGGACGTCTACAGGGTGGCTATCCAGCCTTGTCTTCACGCCACTGGAGCGGTATCCCTGACTACATTGATGCAGCCTATGAAGATAAGTCTGGCAACATCTGGTTCTTCCAAGGTACAAAAGGAAGCAGAACATTCCTGCTCCTATCTCTTTTTCTTTGTGCCACATTTTCAAATGCTGCCACAAATGGAATGTTGCGCACGCACTGTTTTCTCTTCCTGTTGTGGTCGGCAGACTAGGAATTGTTCATTAAAAATGTTAACGAATTCAGTAAAATTAAAAAGTAAGAACCAGCAAGCAATTCATCCTGCATTCTTGGTGCCCAACCCTAATTTCCTTTACCTTCCAGAAAAGTTGGGAATCACCATAGCAACCAGTGAGATTCTGGTTCTCAGCAGCCTATTCTTTATGATGTTAATCCAGTGGTTCCACAACAACCTTTTTTCAACAGATAAACAAAAAAAAAAAATACAACTGCGTTACTCGGCATAAATTGCAAAAAAAAAGTATAATCTCCTTTTGCTCATGAATTCACTAACTTTAAAGCAAAGGTATAATTATCTAAACTGTTTGTTTTACCTTGAAATGTAATTCATCATCGCTTTCAATTCATAAATATTTTTTTATTAAAAACGCTCTAAATAATTTCTTCCGCATCCACCCTGCAATTATGCATGACCTCACTTAGGGGGCACCCCACCCACTTTTGGAAACACTGTTACCCTACCCTACCCTACCCTACCCTACCCTACTCTACCTGACTCTACCCTACCCCACTCTACCCTACCCTACTGTATCCTACATTTTATCATTTGTGTATACATAATGAAATTTAATTTCGTTTGTCAAAACAAGCAATAATATGATAGTATATGTAATAAACAACTGAGACATAAAAAACTTTTTTTTACAGAAATTGTAATCTTACTAATATCAGAGAACTGGCTCAGGTCACAGATGGCAGCACTTACCTCTGGGCTTGCTTCTTCAGAATATTGCTAGAATAACAGTTAAACAATCACTTTATACATCTCCAGGGTCTCCCCCTGCCACATCATCAAATGTCATATCATTACATCATGTTCATTAATGAGGAAACATCACTAGCTCCAGCCATATCAAGATATTACACAGTGTTCTATATGAAGGACATTCTGAATGCACCGTGACAGAGAGCTCGCTGTTAAGAATGATCCATTCTGTCTGTGCTCTGGCTTCATTCCCAAATCTTTATGTTTATAATGAAGATAACCTTTTAGCCCGACAGAAGAGCTGTCCTAACTGGATAAACTGCTTGGGAAAACATAAGCCTTATCACGTAGCAGGCAGGTGTTATTAGTGTTTAAAAGGCACATCCATGAACAATATAAAAATTATCCTGAGAGCCAGTAGGTGAGATTAAACTCAGTTCAGTGCTTTATATATATTTTCTTCTAATGAGCAAACCCAGTAACTTCTAGACTTATTTCTTGTTGCTGTTGCAGGCGACAAATACTGGGTGTTTGATGCTGAGAGGAAGATATCTGGACCAGTGTCTTTGGTGCAGCTGGGTCTTCCTGTGACAGACATCAATGCAGCTCTGAGGTGGGAGCAGAACCAAATGGAGAAGATTTTCCTCTTCAAGTCTTCCTTCTACTGGCCCTTCAACACTCAGGAGAATCGGGTGAATGATCTCCATCCTCGCAGCATGCATGAGTGGACTGGACTACCCAGTCACATCGATGCAGCCTTTCTGGACAATTATGGTAAGACCTTGGGTCAGAGTTGGGTTAAACAACTGGTAGGTTTGAGTCTTTTCAAACATCTGACCTCTTTTCTCCTTCTGGACAGGTTATGCTAACTTCCTGAGTGGACTGTACTATTGGAAGTTTAATCCGGTGTCGCTGAAGGTGCTGGAAGGCTACCCTCGTAGAATCGGGATGGACTTCTTTGGCTGCTCTGAATCTAGTTAAATCCATCAAATCATAAAATTGAAATCATCCATCGGCTTACTGCTAAAAATCACACTGCTCAAATTTTCACCACAGATAAAACAGGACAGAGTCTTTCTTTGTAGCAAACATCTATAGTCTTACTGTAAATTGTTGGGACTGATCCTTTATTTTCAGATCGGTTCTGATGCAGGTCAGGGAAACTGCATAACGCCATGGCAACAAAATGCCATTCGGAGTTGGCTGTTTGAGCCCACATCACATATCCTGTTCCTCACCTTGGCCCTAAATGCTGTACATTGTTAGCCTTTAGCAGGAAGGTTTGTTCTACGTTTAGTGTCATAAAATCAGCGGGACTGGGTCTGATTATTCATGGTGCTATTTAAGGTCAAACTAGAACCTCATTCTACTTAATTCAGCTAAACTGTTCTCTCTACAGCTCTTGTTGAAGGCCTTTTTGGTCCTCAGAGGCTGATTTTATTCCATCATTCACAAGATTCTTACGACTCATTTATGTTTGTTTTATAGATTCTTCTTCATTCCTGAAGAACAGACATTTTATATATATACAGTATATATATATATTTTCCTATTCATTTCAATTTGTTTTCATATTTAAGGTGATTTATTCTCAATCAGTGCTGGACGCTGATGCTTGCTTTGACCAGTATAACATGCTGGTCATAAACCAGTGATCTGGTGTTATGGTTCTGTTCTCTGTCAGCATGTTCTCATGGCTTTATGTTTAACTGCGGATACAGAAAAACATTAACTGGTCCCAAAATTTAAGCCTCGATTACAGGTTTCTAGCAAGCCTGGTTGTTTCGGTTTACAGAACCGGCCCAAAAGAAGCATGATTTATTTTACTGGGGTCCATTTTTTTAATGGTGCGCTTTTAAGCCATGTTAGGTGGTGTTGAATGATTTGTTCAGCCTCTGGACTAAGATTTAAGAATTGTACGAATTTGGTTCAGCAGCCCATGACTTAAGAAATATATATACTTTTTTTTATATAACAGAAAAATAAATCCTGGTATTACAAGATTAAAGTTGTGATATTAAATCAGTGAAAGTGCACTGATTTAATAGCAGTAAAGCAGTAAAAGCAGTCAATATTTAATGCACCCCACTGTGACAGTGGGGTGGAGGTTTGACAGGACCCAAATGCAGACACTGAAGCCTAAGTTGGTTACTTGAAGATTTAATAACAAAAGGATAACAGAAGCAAAAATCCCAAACCATAAATTCTCAGAATTTCACAAAACTAGAAAACGAGGAATACTTACAACAAAGGGGCAAAGAAATGACAACAAACCAGCCAAGAGTGACTGAACAGGAGGAGAATATATGGGAGAGAAACAAAGGCTAGCAGGCTAATTAGCAGATTGGGAGCAGGTAATAACAGAGGAGCTAAGAAGGGAGCTGGAAATATCTAAGAACTCAAATACAATCAAAAATAACCAGAACACAAAATGGAAATAGGACCAATGAAAACTCAGAGATAAAACTTGAACAGAAAAAAAACCATGACAACTACACGATTAAAGATGTAGCCTGCTTTAATGTAAAGCCTTCTTTCTGAGTAAAAAATGCTCAGGCTGCAATTTGCACTGCAAATTAAATTAATTAGATTAAGTGCAATTTTTCTTGAATTGAGCAGGAAAGTGAGACACTTTGCCAATGGAAAAAGACAATTAACATTTAAAATAAGAAATAAAAACAACTGCAGTCTCTTATTTCAACTGCATAATATCGAATTCTCTAATTTTAAGGCTAATCATATTCATTCCACTGGCAGATCCTCGTATTTACCCACTTAAATTGAGGGAAAATATGCTTATTTTACTCATTTTAAGATTGTTTTTGCAGTGTGGATGAGCTCGGTTAATATCTATCAAAGCCTTTTTCTCATTAAAATTACTATTTTATGACAAATGTCATTACGATTTGATTTTCTTAACATTAGGACTTTATTTTGTAATTTCAGAAAAATGTCTTAATACGGCTTTCATGCTCTGTCATAAAGAGAGCTTTGGAAGTGGAATTTTTCTTACTGAAGATGCAGACAAAATAAAAAAACGTCCTCAAATGAAAAGCACTAACTATTCTTCTTTAGTTCAGCATTTTTTTTTTCCACTTTAATTTTAAAGTAAACAAGGCCCAAAACACAGAGTGACTTTTATCTGACTTTTAATCTAACCCCATTTTTAAAGCACTTAAAACAAAGCCAGTGGCTGAGGTTCTTTAAAGATATAAGCAAATTATAATCAACACCAGTAGAACCTTTAGAATTTAAAATCAAATGAAAAATGCATAACTTTGGACACCAGGGAGTCAGGTTTTTCTGCCTTACAGCAACAGATCGTTCCAAAGCTTAGAACCCAGAAGGTTCTGGTTCCGGTTAAAAAGGTCGGCTGATCTAAGAGAACAAGGTCGGACAATAAAACATCAGAGATGTTGGACTGGAGGAGGTGATTTAATGACTTGAAAACAATTTTACAATCTTACAATCATTTTTAAAATGGACAAGCTGCCAGATAAGGGAAATCAGCACCACTGAACAGAGTTTAAGGTTTTGTGGTAATAAAATAAAATATAATTTTGTTTTTATAAAAGAAAATGTAAATTATAATCAATATCCCTCCAGTTTGAGGTGTTCTGTTATAAAAACCTATTTAAATACAATAACACTTGTCGTTCTAATGTGATAAAATGTTTGGATGCTCAGAATATTCAGATTTACGGAACCATAACCAAGTAATGAAATAATTTCAAAGCCTTAAACAATTTCAGACAATTTCATCCAAGCTGAAAATGTTTATAACATAATGCATGATTTTCATTTGATTTCCATAAGTCCAATAAAAATAGGATCATCTACGGGTTCTGAACAGGTTCTGATGCAGTTTCCTGACTTTCTGTGAGATTTTGATGTTTGAACACTTTTCGTTTTATATTCACTGATTACTGTTGTGAGTTTTTTTCAATAAAAATGAAAAAAGTGACTCCTCTTCGTCTGTTTTGATGTGACCACATGTATTAGAAAATGAGTGATGATCTTAAACAGCAAGTTCTTGTTCTATTGCTGCTCCTGACCGCTGCTTTCTGCCTTATCACCAGACAGAGCCTGGAGGTTCACTGAAGCCACAGACCCAAATCAGCTGCTGAGCGTTTCCATGTGTCTGCAATCAGAGCGTTAAGCTGCGTGCTTTCCCAGAGTTACTATCCGTTCAGATCTGATAACAGCAACATGCTTCACTCATCTTCTTCAAAGATGACTTCATCTTTAACATCCAAATTGGAAAAACCCATCCGTGGATTCATGCAGGAACCTTGGATGCTTATCTGCTCTGCTGGCTAAAATCCACTGATATGTTTGAATGTTTCAGGACTAAAACTAAAGTTTTGCGTAAACCAGAAGCAGCTGCAGGTTCAGATCTCCTCTCATGAAGTCATTTAATCTGCACCGTGGGATCCTGCAGGAAATGAACCAAAACTTAAACATCTCAAAGCTCCAACTTATTCAAAGGATTTAAGTTTTTTTATTTAAACAATCAAACAAATAAGGTACAAAGCTTACATGGTATAATATGCAGAAAATAAAAGCGTACAACACACGGTCAGACAATTAAAGTTAAAATAAAAGGTGCTCCTGGATGATAAAGGGAAAAAATATGTAATGTCTAATATACAAATACTATAACAATAACAAGATTGAAACTGTAATGCTCACATTCCTGCCAATCTTATAATAAAGCCACTATTAATAAGTCTGGTACGCTTGAAAAAAATCCCAATTGTTTAACATCGCCTGCCCTTTGCCTCTTAATCTAGTCAGCATAACCTCTTATGATACAGTTTCAGTCATTAATACTTTCCATTTCTGGAATGTAGGGTGTTTGGGTGCCTTCCTGTGTCTTAGGATAATTGAGCTGAGGTTATCCCAACCATCAACACTGAGTTTCCCCTTTTTTTGTGAGCTGGGGTATTGCTGTTTTGTCTCCAAGAAGACATAGACGAGGACATAGGGGGAGAGTTACGTCTATCCATGTCTCTGGGAAATTTAAGTATTTTTTCCCAGAATGGTTTGATCAAAGCACACTCCCATATAAGATGTTAAAAAGTATTTGTATCCTTATTCAAAGGAGTAAACTTTCTGATGAATTCATCTCTGCAACACCAACATAGCAGCAGCTCAATTGATTCCAGAAATGTGCTTCTATCTGCAGAAACATCAAGCATTAATTGAAAAACCTTCAGATAATTTAAAGCATATGCTGAAAGCAATAAAGAACAGAACATGAGCTCAATCCGATACAAATCTTTAAAATTACAGCTTATTTACACTTATTTTATGACCTGGAATGCTTTGGCAATGGAATCATTTCATAATAGGCCCTGTGGTTTGGTGATGAATGTGGAGCATTTCTGGCTGGAGGGATCCAATAACTCAGCTAACTGGTCTCTAACTGGCCTCCCCGCTGCTTTCTTCTGCAAAACATCTAAAAAGAAAAAAAAATCTACCAGAGGAAGTTTTTAGTCTGTAATTACATAAGCAGAAAATCATTAACAGATTTTTGTCTGCTGCCTGGTGCTTTTGATGTAAAAAAATAAAATAAAAATTAGAGACAAAAGAGGATTCCACTATTTTAAAGTCAATGGGATGTCTAGTTAAAGTTTCCCACAGATTTACAGGAAAAGAGAAAACTGGGATTTTATTGTTGCTTTTTCCTTCAGCTGGTGTGAACAGAGCTGCCTATACTGACATCTACTGGCCAATAGATGGAACTGCAGCTTCTCAAACCAAAAACTGCTGAATAAAAAATGTGCAAAATGAATGACAAAAACATGGCTAGGTTCAAGATTAATTTAAAATAGAATAGAATAGAATAGAATAGAATAGAATAGAATAGAATAGAAACTGAATTTACCACATCAGTAGATTTTCCATCCAGTTCATTACAAAAAAACTCAAAATAGCTTCATCAAGATCTAACAAAAAATATAAATCTGTACAAAAATAAAATAAAACTGAATTTTGAATATAAAACAACTCCCTGTTAGTGAAATGAAAGTATCCTAAATTTAATCTGTAGCAACTGACTCTAAACTCAACCTGTGGATCATGTCCCAACAAGCTGTTTACCTCCCTGCTGTTAATTAAACAGGTTTTCCATCATCAGAATCCACAGCTGCACATAGCAAGAGCGCCGGTTGGGATTTGAATAATAATTGAACTTTATTGATCTCTGCTGGGTTCAAAAATGTAGGTTTGTAAAAGAAGAACTGAAATACACAGTAAGGGATTTTCATACAGCTTCTGCAGAAGGAGAGACAGTTGAACCCCAGACTCAAACACACCGTCTCCCACCGGACCTCCTCTGCAGAGCGTTTTATTAACAGAACATGACACATGGTTACAAACAGAGTATTGTTCTGACAGGAAAGTTGATCAGGTCATAAGGCAGTGTGGTCTCCTGACTGAATCATGAGACAGAGTAAAGCATCTCATTTCTACAATGTTTCATATGAACACACATTAATTTTATAATCATCATTGAATAAACCTAACAATCTCACATTGGAGAAATTTACCTCTGTGTTTAACTCATCCCCTTGGGGAGCAGTGGGCTGCCATCTTGCTCAGGGGCCCAGAGTGGCAGTCTATGGGTTTTGAGCTCACAGCCTCAGGATTCCAAGTTCTATGCCCTAACCACTAGGCCGCCAATCCACACCCAGGACCTTTTTGCTGTACGGCAACCAGTGTACAGTCTGCACTTTCAATCTCCTGTAATTAGTCTGTTGTTTTTTTATGCATTTATTGCATGATTTGTTTAATGTCAGTTACCGTACATATTTCAACAGAGATGGCAAAAGTACTCACTTTCCGTACGTCAGTAAAAGTATAGATATTTGTGTTAAAAAATACTCTGGTAAAAGTGGAAGTACTGATTAAACTTCTTTATTCGAGTAAAAGTAACAAAGTACAGGCTTGTAAATTTACTTAAAGTAGAAAAGTAAAAGTAGAAACCACTTTTTTCATGCCGTTGCCTACATTTTAAATGGATGTCTGCCAATAGGACTATATCTCCATTGTGTTCATTTTCAAT